ATATTTACAAAGGAAGATCGTCGTAATGCTAGAGTAACTCGGGTGTCATAGTCGTTTCCCGAGCATCAAACAAAGGCAAATTCACCCTATCTTGCTTGATTTCTAGATGAGAATTGAGTTAATATGTTTGTTTTCACTTGTATTTAATACTTATAGCTTATACGAACTTAAAACACATCAGTCCAAACACCCATACCAATTTACAAAAATTGCCCAAAAATCACCGGTATCTATATTGGGCCATCAATATGGATACTCACCCCTTGTGTATCGATACTCAGGTGAGTATCGATACCAAAATCAGATTCGATGTTTTGAAAATTTTCTCGGTACCGACATTCCTATAGGGGTATCGATACTCCCATGAATATCGATACTGGACCCCAATCGAGTATCAATACCCCTTGGTGCCCTTACAAATTGCTTGATTTTTTTCCTTTCACGAAGAACGATATCGGTATTGTTCTTCCAGTATCGATACTGACGAACATGGATGCTCTGTTTTGAGCACGAAATCATGCCCAAAACTCACCCATTGACTCCCCTAAATCCATTAAACATTTTTAGAGTCTTATTTGATGTCTTATAGGTCAAAATGTATCAACTTTCATGCTTGCAAACCACAAATATGAATCTTGTCATGGAAATTATTCTAACATGCACTAAACAAACCATAATGCAAATACAATAAACTACATGTAGTATGGACAAGTCAGAATTGTGTTACTTTGAGCTTAGGTAACTGAAAACGTTCTCAAATCACCTATGGACTAACTTTCCTTGCCTATAGCCTTTGAGTTCTCCCTTGCTCTTGCACTAATTAAGACATAAAAAATGAGTTATAAACTCATTGAAATGCTTGGAACAAAGCTAAAAACTTCTCCTTACCACTCAAACTCCATAACTTGCTAGAACTCAAAGTTCCTTAAATCCCCAATAAAATCCATTTTTGGTTAACTCACCCAAACCTTGCAAATAAGAGCTCAAATCGATCCTTAGGAGGTGTAGGATGTTGTTCTTACCTTAGAATTCACAATGGATACTTAGGTTTCTTAAAACTCCAAGCTTTAGCTTGGCTTGGAAAGGAAAAGGATGAAGAAGAAGAGAGGAAGAAGACAAAGCATGGGATGAAAAAGAGATATGAGAAAAACAGACGTGATATCATCCCATTAATTGGGAAATCAACTTTAATTTGAATTAAGGGATTATTAACCATCCTAGTCCTTCCACATCTTGGTCCAGATTAAAAACACCCTTTTTATGATTTTTTGGGCTCATCACAAGCCCAAATAAAAAGTCACTTGGGTTAAACTCTTCTTGGGTTAAGAGGATTATTCTAAAGTCTAAATCAAATACACCTGAAACTCTTAATCTGTATTTTGGGGTATTACACTACGTTTATAGTGGAGTATTGTTTATCTCGCCCGTGGAGGTAAGTAAGGCTGAACCACGTTAAATATTGTTTTTGTGCATATCTTATTTTATGTTGATATCGTTTTGATTATTTTTTTACTCTCTAATTTTTAACAACATTCCATAATTATTGATATCACTCAACGAGTTCATCTCAAATATCATATTTTGATTGTCCACTTTAGATATATGTCCTATTTCATGAGAAATGAAAGAAACATAAGAATAAAAACATTTTGGTTGTTTCAAAATAATAAGAAAATTCATGAATGAACCTAACATATTAAAATATTAAATATAACTAAGAGTTGTCGTAACATAATGATCGAGAGATTTCAATTATTCACACGGTATCAATAATTACAAGAATAATTATTATTTTTAAAGGTTTTAAGTTCGAACACCAATGACTGCATAAAGTATTTTAACACTCATCGTCAAATTATTTAGAATATTTAAAATATATACTATCGTATGTAAGCACCATAAATTAATTAAAAAAAAATTCAATTATTCATGTACCCGATAAACATGACCCACTATCTTCTTACTCCTATATTTGGTCACTAAAATTTAATTTAATTACTTAACTTTACAATTACTCTTATTTTAATCACTCTAACTTTTAAATTTATTTTTTAATTATATATTAATAAAATAATAATAAAAATGTCATGCCACAAAATTGTTAATAAAATAATTTAAAATGATTAAAATATAAGCAATTTGAAAGTTGAGTAGTTAAATTAAAAAAATTTAAACTTTAACACCAAAATATGAGTGAGAAGATAGTTGAGAGATGAATGATGTAACTTATCCATAAAAATGCGTTGCGGTTAAGTTTTTAATTGTGAGATACTAAAATGAAACAAAAACTAAATATTAGGTATGGTTTTGAAAAATTAAAAGTTTAAGTACTTAAATAAATAAAAGCTGATAGTTTATATACTAATTACGTAATTTATAGTAAATTTTTAAATCCCTTCCGACTAGAGAGGAAACCCTAAAATTCGTATATTTAGAGCCAATTTTCCCGCCAATAAAGAGCCCCCGGGCAGAGCCACCCAAAAAGAGCGGCGGTGAAATCAAAACCGCGTTGAACTTGAAAAAGAAATGTGATGATTGGTCCGTGAAATAAGTAGGGAACAGGCCAGTCACTATTATTTTTATTGGTTTATCGAATCTTCTTGTTCTTAGGGCTCCTTTACACTTTTATGCACATTGGATTCTTTTTTCATCAACTTTGGTTTTTGGACCAAATTTTTCATTTTCTTTTTGTACATTAATTATCTGAATTGTTTGAATGAAGAAAATTTCAAAATCTTGTGAAGTGGTCAACTAATTATTATTATGAATGACAATGGGTAGGGTTAGAGTCGATTTTTGATCAACCGACCCGAAAATTGGATCATCCACTTGAATCCGATTCGATCTTAAAATTTTATATCCTTCATCTGACTCAATATGATTCTATTCGACCCGAAAAATATATATCATCCACCTAAAATCGACCCGACCCGAATTTTTAGAGTATAATATGACTCGATCCAATATAAAATAAAGACTTAATTAATTTTTTTTAAAGAAAATTACATTATTATCCTCGAATTGGGTCGAGTCAGAGTTTTTTCACCCTCTCTGAACCCACATGACCTCACCCCTTAAAAATATGACCCGATCCGACCCGATCCAAACCCAATTTTTTTTTTATGAAGAATCGATCATATTGGATTGGATTAGGTAAGACATCATTAAAAAAATTAAAGGTAATGTTGATGTGTCACCATAAAATAATGCCACGACATTATTGAAAAAACCATGTTAGTAATTCTGTTAATTTTTTAACGATGGGAGATCAAAATAAAACTAAAACTAAACTTTATGTACGATTTTGAAAAAAAAATATTAGGTGACCAAAATAAAACAAAAGTGATAGTTGGATATTAAACATGTAGTTTATCCAACAATTATTAAACTTCTCAAACGATTATAAGATGAGTATCTAATTTATTGAAGAATTATAAAATTTCCTTTAAATTTTATCAAACCATTATAACAATATTACATAAAATTATTAAAATTTATTTATATTTTCACATTGTTGGGGAGCATTTTATAACAATTTAAGAAGTTCAATTGTCAATTAATAACATTTGTTAAATTTGAAATTTATTTATACTTCTATATGGTTATTGATTTAGTGCCATTGTTTGTTTAAAGTGAGGTCTATTTTCGGCATATTTCTTTTGACCGATGTTGGCACCTTGCTCGTTATTCGAGTTTGTGCAGTTACGTTTGATGGTCTATCTACTTTATTATGATTCGTGTTCTTATGTTCTACATTGATTGTATTTAGGGATAGGTATGAGTCGAGTTGGGTCGGGATTTTGGTCCACCCGACCTGACCCGAGAACAATAAATCCTCCACCCGAGATCCGATCCGACCAAAACAAGATTTCACCAGACCCGAACCCGATTCGATATATAACTTAAAAACTCGATCCGACCCAACTTGAAATAATAATAAAAAAAAATATTCAATAAAAACAATGACTTAATTGAAAAAAATTAATATATAGAGAGATATTATTGTAATTATTCCTAAATATATAATTAAAATTATATATTTTTCGGGTCTGGTCGGGTTGGATATTTTTTACCCTAAACCCGACCCGAACATCACATTGGAAAAAACCGATCCGACTCGAACCCGATTTTTTTTTATAAAAAATGTTGGGTTGGGTCGGAACTCGTCGGGTTCAGATCTCATGCCCATCCCTAATTGTATTACATTCTTTGCCAGTCTTGACACGATAGTCGGATTTGCGAGTTCTTTCTGTTTATTGTCGGGTCGGGTCGGAACTCGTCGGGTTCGAATCCCTTGCCCATCCCTAATTGTATTACATTCTTCGCCAGTCTCGTCACGATAGCCGGATTTGCAAGTTCTTTATGTTCATATGTGTGCATGATTTTGCATTGATTTTATCCATGATTGTTTTGATTTGATCTCAAATTTTATTATTGTTAACGTAATATTCCGTTTAGAGAATATAATTTTAACTCGAATAACGACTCCGACCCGATCCGACCCATACATGTGTACGGAACGTCGCCGTGATTGCGCCCTTTATGCCATTACGCCGGTGATTGTGCCCTGACCGTGAGACCAGAAAAATCAATCGTCCAAACAAAAGAAGGGCAAAATCGTAAACTTCCACAAATCTCGGCGGGAAAAAGAGCCGTTGCTCATCAGCCTACCCAAATTTGGCGCCAAAAATAAATAATATTTCCCCTCGGGGTGCCCGTAAATATCCGGGCAGCCACCATTTCTCCCCCTTTAAGAAATCAAAAGCTTGGCTACAATCATCTCTTTCTTGTTTTCCCTCAGTTTTTAAACCTCTTTCCCCAGAAAAGTTTTCTGTTGATTCCCTTGAGAGAAAAAAAAGTCAATCTTTGGGCTCACTTTATTCATACAAAACACCTTTCCCCTTGTTTTTGATCTGTTTTGAGCCATCTTCAGGCTTGGGTTCCGAGAAAAAAACTCAAATCTTCGGGCTCATTTTATTCTTGTTTTTTATCTGTTTCGAGCCATCTTCAAGCTTGAGTTCTGAGAAAAAAACTCAATCTTTGGCTCATTTTATTCGAACAAAACTCCTTTCCCCTTGCTCTGCCTCTGTTTTGAGCCATCTTCAAGCTTGGGTCCTTTTGTTTTTGCATAAAAAATGGGGGTTTCCCAGAAACAGCAGCTGGATGGAGTATTGGATTCCGAAGGGAAGAAATGGATGATCGCCGGAATATCGTTACTAACTTCGTTGAGGCCAATAAACACGAAGCCGAGATCGAAAGAAAGCGAAGAAGAAGACGAAGAAGAAGAGACTTGTTCAACAACTCCGACTTCGAAAGAAGCAAAGATACCAGCGAAATTGGCGTGCCCTTTAGCTCCGAGTAAGCGTAGGCCTACCCTAAGATGCCATTACAATGGAGTTAGGGAGTTCTTCACCCCTCCTGATTTGGAATCTGTATTCAATCTCCGTCTCTGAGTTTGAAGAAATTTGGGGTTTCGTAGGTTAGCCAAAATAGCAGACAAGAGCTCAAGGTGTATAACGATATGATATTTTGTATGATATGGGTAGTGTAGTTTTTCTTTTTCTTTTTATTTAGGGTTCATCAAAATTTCTTGACTATCATACAATCTGAAAGTTTCTTGATTTAGTTCATTGTGTAATGGATTTATGTAACTTGTTTGTGATGCTTGAAGTTTATGAGATTATTGGGTGTATGTTCAAATGAACAAATTTCGTCACTTTTTGAAGGTTACACCTTTAGTAAAACGAAGAATTAACATTAAAAAATTCAAATTTCAGATGAAGTAAAACGAATAATTAACATTAAAAAATCCGAATTTCAAGGTATAAACGTTTCTATCTTGAGTTCTAATTACTTCCGACATTGAATTTTGAAGTCTCTCAAGTCTTTATTGCCATACATAATTTCAATATTGTCAAAGAATCTTTATTGCGATAGAAACTTTGAACTTATTCCAATTTTCTTTCATCTCTCCTTTTGTGACTGTACACAAAAAATACACACACGTCTAGTATACAAAAAGTCTTAAAGTTGCCCAACTATAATGTGAAGTCTGCCTTTGGACATACTAATTTAAAACTAAAGAAAGACAACTTAAAATATAAAAAAAAAAATTACAGGGTAAAGTGTACAAATAGTCTCCAAACTTTTAAGACGCTTATATATTTAGTAATTTAGCTTTTGAAACTTGCAATACAATCATCGAACTTTTCACTAACTTATATTCCTCCACCCAAGCCACGAACTTATCCTCTTCCACCCACGCAGTTCAGAGAACGGTAAAAGAAAAACGTAAGGTTTCATCTGATGATCAAAACGAAAACTGTCTTGGATTTGTAAACCTAACAATTATGAGTACAAAAAGATCATATAATTTCGGGATTTAATCCTTCGTCTGCCGTGAAAACCTTGGGTCCGGCATCAACTCCCGGCGTAATCTCCGGTACTTGTTGCTGCTTTCACTTCTGTACATTTTCGGCTTGTTAATGTGTGTTGGTCCGTTTTCTGGGCTTTTGGGCTATGCTACTGTTCCTGAATCAGTGTACCGTAGCTATGAGAATGACATTGGGATGATATTCGCTTTGATAATTCTTCTGCTCTTCAGGTCTTCTTCTTCTCCTGCATCTTGCTACCTTTTCCTTTACTAGTGAGGTTACTGCTAGTTTTTACTCTAGAAATGGTAGAGATGGTTGCTAGATTTTGGATAAAGGTTAAAGGATCTTAATTTTCATGTTAATGTTGTGTTTTTATGTTAAGTAAAAACTGGGTTTTCTTTCACAATTTTGGCTTATAGTTAGAATGGGTGTTTTTTAAGTCATAATTCTTTTAACTTAAGGGTTGTAATTTGCGTTATTCGATCGGTTTGTCTCTAGTCCTTATTTGGGTGTTCTGTTTTCTAATTGGTTGCTAAGTAGAAATAAGACAGTTTATTTTAAAATTAATTTGCTTCTTGGACAGTCAAAACTGGTACCATATGGAAATTGGTCATGGAATGAGAAAGCAAAGAAGCTTGATGGGGATAAGAAAAGATTTAGAAGCTTGATGGAATGAGAAAGCAAAGAATCTTGATGGAGATAAGAAATTGGTCATGGAAGTTGATTTAGTAAGAAGAAGAAAAAGCTGTCACGTCGAACAGAGAGTTAACGAAGGTAACTATGGGAGGTAACGACAGAAACCTTACTGAAAATGATCTAAAAGTTTGATGATTGTATTGCAAATTTCAAAAGTTAGGTGATCAAAATGCAAGTGCCCCAAAAGTTCGGGAACAATTTATAAACTTTACCCAAAATTATAATATTTTTGATTAAGTGCAATCCAAAATGTCAAACTTTTTAACATTTTTTATTGAATCGGAAATATTATAAATAAGATGAACATTTTCGTTTGTCAATCGAAAATGATATAATGAAGGTTTTACAATTGAAAAATATTAAAAAAATTAACATTTTAGATTGCTCTAATTGAAAATATTATTTTTTTATAACATTTTCGATTGTGTATTTCTTAGACTTTCCCTTTTCCCAGGCTGTTAAATATTCCTATCATATTCATGGATGCCTACGTACATACATACATAAGAAATTTCGATATAGCATTTCAAGTTTACGGTTCATATTCAAACAATTACTTCCATCCATACATGCATGCCTACATACATAAGAAATTTCGATATAGCATTTCAAGTTTATGGTCAAACACAACAGCATAGGACAGACCTGATCCAACACTTGCACCCAAGTACAAGTAACACAAGGTGAAATATGCTTTTGCTAATCTACCAATGCCAGTTCCGGTCCAAGGCCATATAAACACAGAGATACTACACTAAACCACATAATAAATCTTGTAACAAACAATCAGGTTTCGGATCAAAAGTAAAGCGTACAATATTCTTAGCATTATAAGTTCATAATCACTCACACACATACATGCACACAAGATTGGCTTTAAATCGAAGACACATATAGACACACATATAGACACTTCATCTAAGGGCTCGTTTCCAACCTAAAATCTTTAGGGTTCTTCTAAGCACTGTAATCAAACACACACAAGATTAGCTTTAAATCAAAAGCATCTATATACACTATAGCAGACCAACAATGGTTTTCCTGAGCACTAATCTAAGATATATCTATTCAAGCTGCTGGCAAAATAGAATCAGTTTGCATTCTAACACTATTTATCTCATAAAAGACAAATAAGATTTCGGATCAAAGGTCAAGTATACAATTTCTTAGCATTATAAGTTTATAATCACTCACAAATGCATGCATACAAGATTGGCTTTAAATCGAAGATACATATCGACACTTTATTTAAGGGCTTGTTTTCAACCAAAAATCTTTAGGGTTCTCCTATGCATCGTAATCAAACACACACAAGATTAGCTTTAAAACAAAAGCATCTATATACACTATAGCAGACCAACAATGGTTTTCCTGAGCACTAATCTAAGATATATCTATTCAAGCTGCTGGCAAAATAGAATCGGTTTGCATTCTAACACTATTTATCTCATAAAAGACAAATAAGATTTCGGATCAAAGGTCGAGCATACAATTTCTTAGCATTATAAGCTTATAATCACTCACACAAATGCATGCACACAAGATTGGCTTTAAATCGAAGATACATATCGACACTTTATTTAAGGGCTTGTTTTCAACCAAAAATCTTTAGGGTTCTCCTATGCACCGTAATCAAACACACACAAGATTAGCTTTAAAACAAAAGAATCTATATAAACTATAGCAGACCAACAATGCTTTTCCTCAGCACTAATCTAAGATATATCTATTCAAACATCCGGCAGAATCGAATTGGTTTGCATTCTAAGTTCTAACAGCATTTATATACATATTCAAATCCAACCATGATCAAGTAATTCAAAGATCAAAGAAAATAGGATAAAGTATATTACATGTCAGTGTATTGTGTAAAAATGGTATTTTTTATCAACGACCTTCCGAATGTTTCAAAACGATCATTAAATTTATCAAACAGTTACAAAATGATCTTTCAACTTATCAAACTAATGCAAAATAATCCTTCAACTTAACAAAATTCATTGTTAATTTAATATTGCAAGAGGCATTGACAATTAGAAATCGGAATAATCAGAATTGGAAATTCACCATTGCAATCAATCAACAGCTAAATAATGGCAATTATCAAATCCAGAAACTAAAAGTTCCTCATTGCAAACACTTAAAAAATAAAAGTGCATATAAAACTTAATAAATTCCAGTACACTTTAACATAACTAACATTGTTCAACCAAAACAAAACATTAAATCAAAAAACCATAACATAATTAAGGACCCATTGAATTGATGAACACTAACCACTTAAAACCTCCTCCCGGGTCCACCACCACCGCGGCCGAACCCGATTTGGGGAGCAACAGCAACCGGGTCAACCTTAACAAGCCCAGGGATATCAGACATCCCAAGAACCGAAAGCATATCGAGTGTTTCCTTGTCGACCTCGATTTGGTCGACCTTGATAGCCGATTCATCGGGGACGAAATCCATGCGACGCTCACGCTCTTCCTCTTGGAGCTTGAGGGAAATGCCGCGAACGGGTCCCTTCTGGATCCGTTTCATCAGATGGGTGGAGAACCCGGCGATCTTGTTGCGGAGCCTTTTCGACGGGATGATGGCGACTTCTTCGATGATCTTCTTGTTGGTGTGGAAATCCAGGGTCATGCGCGAGTAGTAGCGCTCGATCACCTGACGGGACGATTTCTTCACTGTTTTGGTACGGACGCGGCCCATTGTTTCGGATCTGTTGACGGCTCTACTCGGTGGCTACTGGAGCTTTGCGGGAGTGGCAACAAAATGAAGAGTTAGGGTTTTCTGAGTGAGAAATTATATATATATATATATATATATATATATATATATATATATATATATGGACGAGTAAATTGTTGGGCCCTTTCTCAATTCTAGTGTTAGTGTCCATGGGCTTTGCTTGGAGCAATCAAAGTGTTCTTCCCTAAATGTTTAATATTTTTTAAGAACCCTAAATGTTTAATCTAAAGATAAATTGTGCATTTAGTATTTAAGCTATCAATTTTAGTATCTAAATTTTTACATTTTTTAAAATTATACCTAATTTTTAGTTTTTATTTTATTTTATTTTAGTGCCCCACCACTAAAAATTTACGCGTTTAGTACCTAAACTATCATTTTTGGTCAGTTTTAGTACCTAAGCTTTTTTTCTTTCAAAACTTAACGTTTAATTTTGAATGGGGATACTAAAATAAAATAAAACTAAACTTTAGGTATGATTTCAAAAAATTAAAAGTTTAACTACTAAAACGAACTAAAATTGATAGTTTATGTACTAAATGTATAATTTTCTCTTAATCTAAATATTTATTGATCTTCGTATCATTCTTAAAAATTAAATAAATATTCAAATTTTGTAAAAAAAATCAATTACATTTATTTATCAAATCGTCATCTATCGTAAATTATAATATCAGTATCGTAAATTATCACATCAACATTATAATGATTAATAACGATTTTTGTAGACTAAAGAGTAAGTCTTTTTCAGTGAGACTCATGTAAAACTTATAATAAATATATGTCAATTAAACCTACAAAAATCAACACACCACCCTGCGTCTTGGATGATAGTTCCAAGAGTTAGGTTTTGTTTAGAAATACCTCTCTAATGAGCTTTTCGAACGCAAAAGCATTGTTTTTTTAGCTTCTTAGTTTGAGTCAATAAGCCCGTTTGAAACGTGAATTTTTAATTAAAAATGATTTGTTTGGAATTGTTTATGCGTTTAAAAAAGATTTTTGGGTCAAAAGCACTTTCATAAGCAATCTCAAACGACTCCTCAAAAAATAATCTTCTATCCTCTCTCCCTATTAAAAATGGACTTCTCACCAAATCTCGATGAGGGGGTTATTCTTTTTCCCTAATAACTTACGTGGCGTTCGAATCTCTTAGGGTGTGTTTGGTTGGGGGAATGTGAGATTCTCATGAGAATGGAATCCACATTCCCCGTTTGGTTGGCTGGGAATGTCATTCCCGGTAATCTTACATTATCAATAGTGAATTTTTTTGGGTATATTATCGGGAATGTCATTACCTCCCCTTCCTTAGGTATTGTTGGATTACCGGCGTTTTGGACTAAAATGCCCATAATTTTTTTTTCTTTCAAAAATATTCTTATTCTGTCATTGAATAATAAAAATTCTACGAACGTTAAATTACAAATTTATCCTTAAACTATTTTAGATTTACATAAAAAAGTCTATAATTAAAATTTTATATGAAGTTCAGGGGTTAAAATAAAATTTTACCCTTTCATTAAACCTTTTTATATTTTCAATTTTGTAAAAAAATTATATAAATCTTATGAATTTAATTTTTTTTAAAGAAAATATATAAATATTTTTCAACTTGTTAAAAAAATATATATAATAAGGACAATCTGGTCAAATATATATTCCAATAATCTTTTATTCCTTTAACCAAACATGGTAATCTTACATTCCTGCTAAACCAACCAAACACAAAATACAACATTCCAGTAATCCTATTCCCTGGTAATCTTACATTCCGTGAACCAAACGCATCCTTATAATTAATAATTCTTCATCTAAATCGAAAAGAATGAATTGTAACTGACGCTTATAGTTATCATTCATCTTATTGATCATCAATAACTTGACAAAAAGGCTTGAATAATGCTTGAAGAAAATTTATTTTCCCAAATAGTGCACCCGCCAAATTATTTCTCAAAATAGGGTGAATTCTATAGTGATGCAAGTTTCACAGGTGGATGACGGTGATGCAACTTTGTGGGGGGGGGGAAGACGGGAAATGTGTTGAAGACGCATGGTAATCCTCGGGTCTTCAGTTCAAGTGCTCTTCTAAATACTATGAATCTTTTTTCTCTTAGAAAATCTAATGATTATTCCTTTGATTTAATCCTGAATCTTTCCTTCTATTAATGGCTCTTTTAAACATTCATTGTATATATTATGATTAAAAGAGAATATTATAGAGAAAAGTAGGGATAATATCCGATGTTCAATATAATCATCATGATCGTATATGATATTAGATTGTCACGCGTTAATTAGATTTTCATTATTGTTTGTATCATGATTCACGAGTCAACTCAAGCTACAACCTGTATTGAAATATGATTTAATGCTTACGTCATTTTTTGTACTTTCGATTTATTGTGATCTAGTCGTAAATTTAATTTTGGTGGGTGAATTTTTCAGTACGAATTTTCTGTATAAACAATGATTCGAACTCAAGATCTTACAACAACAACAACAACAAAACCCTATTCACATATGCAATGGAGTAAGGGGGAGGTAGGGTAGTAGGCTACCCCCAACGTCAGGATTGAGAGCAGCTTCCGTGGAAGACCTCCGACAGGAAGAAAATTAAAAATAAAGATAAAATACAATGCATGTATAAATAAATAAATAACTAAATACATAGTTGAAAAGTCTTCCTATGTAGTCTTCAATATGCTCGTCTGTAATGGGGAGTAATCCCTGCAAATAAATCCATGCGTAAAAATCTCGAGTTCATGATGCTCAAGATCTTACTTAACCGATATCAAACTACTTATCACTTGAATTCACCCTATAGGTTGTTTAAAGGATAGGTTTAAACATGATAAGCATCCTTATATTATTCTAATAAAATTTATATTAAATATAAATAATTTTAATTTTGATTTAAATATTAATTTATATATGTAGTATACAATAATTTTACGATATGTTTTCGGGGTTTGACCGGTGTAATGGTTGATCATGTTTTGATATCGATATGGTGTACTTTTTTTCCTCTATTAGGTGCAGTGAAGTTTTTCAATGAGGCTCATGTTGTTGTATTGTTTTATATGATTTGTTCGATTAATATCATACGAAACTCCTCCTTTCAAAAAAATAAAGTAAACTATACGTTTAGTACATAAATTATTATTTTTGTTCATTTTAGTACCTAAACTTTCATTTTTTTAAAATCATACCTAACATTTAGTTTATTTTAATATCTCATCGTTAAAATCTTAACGCGTTTAGTATCTAAACTATCAGTTTTGGTCCATTTTAGTACATAAACTTTCAATTTTTTTTTTCAAAACTTAACATTAAATGTTGAACAAGATACTAAAATAAAACAAAAACTAAAGTTTTTAACGGTTGGGTACTAAAATAAAACAAAAACTAAATTTTAGGTATGATTTTAAAAAAATTAAAAGTTTAGATACTAAAGTGAATCAAAATTGATAGTTTAGATACTAAACACAACTTAACCCAAAATAATAATAATAATGATCGTATTGATGTAAGTCTGGGCAAGTCCAATACCTTTCTTTCACAAATCAAATTCAACATGTTTGGTTATCAAATCTCGTATTGTTTATATATGATTTTTTTTAAGTAGTTAAAAATAAATTTTTAAACATACATTTATTGAGTTGTTGGAGACAATGTTTATACATGTGTCTTGTTAGGGATGGCATGGGTCGGGTTGGGTCGGATTTTTGGTCCACCCGAGAGAACAAGGAATTCTCCACCCGAGATCCGACCCTACCCGACTTGCCCAAAACAAGATTTCACCTGACCTAATATATAACTTAAAAACCTGATCCGACCTGCCCCAAATAATAATAAAAATATTATTTTTATTCAATAAAAACAATGAATTAATTGAAAAAAAATAATATATAGAGGTGTATTATTATAATTATTCCTAAATATAAGGTAAAAATATATTTTTTTTGGGGTCGGATCGGGTATTTTTCACCCTAAACCCGACCATACCCAAACATCACATTTAAAAAATCCGACCGACCCGAATCGAACCTGAATTTAAAAAACGATCCGATCGGGTCGGGTCGGGTTCGGGTCTCATACCCATCCCTATGTGTTGTTGTTGTTGCTCTGCCGAAACCGTGCTCATGCAAACACATTCCTTACAACTGCACATGCCACTTCTTTTTAATGAAATTTATACAATTTTCAATATTTTTTATATTATTTTTATTTCTTTCATTTTGATCCTTGATTACACAAATGTTAAAAATTTCATCCCAAAAATATGCCACATTAACAAAGACGTATCCTACAAAACGTGACTTTTGAAAAGCGCTTCCTATGTGACGCGGTTTAACTAAAAATGGTGATATTTTACTAAATAATTTTTTAGAGTACAAGACCTCGGTAGTAAATGAATTATTGTTATTCCTTGATGTCCTGGGTTTGAGCACCAGGAATGCCAGAGGTGTGAGCGTTCAATGTCAAATGGTTGATAATTATCTTGGAACAGATTGTAAATTATAATTTATCAATAAATTAACAATTTAAAGGTTAATTTAAATATGTTAAAACGTTATTGAATAATTTTAAAATTAGTGTGTATATTTTAGTGGAGATAATAGTAAGGTATAATACAATGAAAATTGAAGATCAATCTTTGGAGGCGATATTGTTGACAATGGTGCAATTAAAAATATGAGAAAATTAAATTATAAGTTTTTTAAATACAAAAATATAATTTCATTATTGTTTTAGCTTAACATTATATAATTGTTGATAACACATACAACCCCAAACATGTATTATAAAAATTCCATGCATAATTTAAACAACAAAATAAAAATATAATAATACATTTAAATTCTAAATCTTAAAATTTAAATCTAAACTCGAAATAATCTCAAACCTCAAAATCATTGAAATACTATACACAATTTAAATATAATAAAGTGCATAATATGAAATAAAAAGGTAATGATAAATTTAAATCTTAAACCCTAAATTTAAAATAACCCAAAACCTTAAAATCACTAACCTAAGGCTTTGTTTGGAGCGCAAAAGCACCGTTTTTCCAATTTATTGAGTCGATAATAACTTTTTAAACGTGAATATTTTTGTTAAAAATAACATGTTTACAAAATTAGCTGACCCTTATTCCCATATGTAATGGGGTAAGGGGATGTAGGATAGTAGGCTGCCCCTAACATCAGGTTGAGAGTAGCTTTCGTGGGAGACCTCCGAATTATGAATTGTCTTCCGTGAGACTCGATCCCACGACCACAAGATTAAAAGCCTTGTGCTCTACCAAATGAGTTGGACAGACAATTAAAAAATAACATGTTTACTATTACTTTTAAGTTTCAAATGAATTTTTCACTAAAAATAATGGATAATTATTCCCCGACAACTCCTAATACAAACAAAAACACATGTTAAACTAACCCTATAAGTACATAGCCAGGGTGATGCTTTTGGAGCCCCATTTATCACACCAATTTGTATCTTTTGCCTTTTTTTCTACTGCTTCCATTGTTTTTTGTCTGAGAGAGAAAATGCCCTTTGGGTCACTTTATTCCTTTTCTTTCCTTACCTTAGTCCTCCATCTTCCTGCAAATTAGGGTTTCCTCTTTAAAAACACCCTCTCCCTGTCATTAACAAACCCTAATCTAAAGGAACTTAATCCTTCTCTGGGTGCACAGTCTTTTTCATTGGGACAAACCTATCAAAGGGGTCAAAAAAACAAAAAAAGAGGTAAGCCGTAAGCCTTTCCCTTATATATAGTCTTTTTTTTCCACTTTAAGGTCTGATCAATCTTCTCCGCTACCAAGAATTTCAAGACAAAATCATTTTTTATTGTGTGTTTCACCTTTTTTGCATGAGAAAACAAAGATCTAACATGTTGGAAGATTGGGAAATTTTAATATATATATATATATATATATACACGAATAAAACTCTTTTTTATCACTGCGGTCCCTGGATAAATTACCGAAAAAGCTGCTTGGCAGGTCAGAGAAAAAGCTAAACTTGTTGAGAAACAAGATGACAGCAGATAGTGTTTTTCTCCAAGAAATTTTGATCTATTTCATAAAGACAATATATATATATACAGACACATATATATATATGTGTGTGTGTGTGTACACTTATAACTTCACAGTGAGAAACTATAATGCTTGATGGATTATGCAATTGATCTCTAGTGAGAAACTATAATGCTTGATGGATTATGCAATTGATCTCTTGTTGCAGAGAAGAAATGGCTTCTTCTTCAAGCTATTCAAGTTCGCCATGTGCAGCCTGCAAGTTCTTGAGGCGAAAATGCATGCCGGACTGTGTTTTCTCACCGTATTTCCCGCCGGAGGAGACTCAGAAATTCGTCAACGTCCACAAGGTGTTCGGTGCAAGCAATGTCAGCAAATTGCTCAACGAAGTCCCGACTTATCAAAGGGAAGACGCCGTGAACTCCCTCGCTTTCGAAGCCGAAGCGAGGCTGAAAGATCCGGTTTACGGCTGCGTGGGAGCGATCTCAGTGCTACAGAGGCAGGTCATTAGGCTCCAAAGGGAATTGGATGCTACCAATGCTAACTTAATCCGATACGTCTACAACGAGATGCCGCCACGGCCGCCACCGCCGCCGCCGGCTGATCAGCAGAGCTATGGGTTTTGTTATCCCTATCAGTGGACTGACCCTAACGAAGACAATGAGGGATCAAACGGTGGGAATATGTAAGCTTGTTGGGTTCATGTATAGTTCTAGTATGTAAACAAAAAAATGATTTGATTGCTCTAGGGTACCTTTTTTACTTTATGGGATTTTGATGACATATCATGGTATTTTATATGATATGTCATTATTCAAATAGCTGGTATTTACATGTTAGTCTCGCTTGTAGGTTATGCTTGGTTTGTTGGAGGTGTTATTTGTTCCTTCCAATCAGGTCTAATGTTATCTAGGGGAGGTCTGAAAGCTTTGTATTTTATAGCGTGATAGTCCCTCGGGGTGTCTTTGTTACCTAGTTAAGAGTACTCTTTTCCTCCACGTATGATTAGGGAGGTTTTTAACGAGGCTTTTAACTTAAATTTAATTCAATTAAAAATATTATTTCTGATAAAAAATAAGCCGGTTAATGTTTTAATATTTAGAAATAACTTCAATGATTTGTTCAAAAAAATAGTATTTAACTCTTGTCAATATTGCTCTTAGCATTTTATTACTTTTGTGTGAAAATGATATCTACATGTGTATATATATATATATAGTAGGATCCTATTACACAATGTAATTTTTTTTTTAGTTTTATACAGATTTAAGATCGTTGGATGAGTGAAAACGGATAATTGAGTTTAAAAGTAGGAAATGTGAAAATGTTTTTTTTCTCAGCAAAATATTTTATTAATAAAGAAAAGACCAAAGTTGTCATTAAAAACCTCCATAATCCTATATGAAGGAAAAAAGTAAAACACATGAAGATGTTTACCAGAGAAAAAAATGAGTTAATCTCAGTCAACTATTTTAACTTATCTAACAACGATCCTAAATCTGTGTAAAACTAAAGACCTATAAATATATATATATATATATATATATATATATATATATATGGTTTTGAATCTACTCACACTGTGTAAAATTCTTTTAGTTTTACATCTTTTTAGGACCGTTGGATTAGGGATGCACAAAGTCAGATTTAAATCCGATCCAGATCGGATAAAAACCGATCCTGTTTTTTCACCTAGCCAAAAAATCGAATTTTAAAAAATCGGTGTCGCAACCGTCTTTCGGTTGTGCCCGGGATTGGGCTTCGACTTAGAAAAATGTGGATTGGAGTCGCCACCGATCATTTATTTAAAAATAAATGGGTTGATCGGATACCCTATTTCTTACCTGATCTGCGTCTTACCAGAAATATATCGGGCTCAGGAGTCGGTTACGGTCAAGGAAGGATTAGCACCCTTGAACCGCCCTTTCGGTACTACGTAATTTCCAGTTGTCTTAATTAAGAAAAATAAAAAGTTAAATTAAAATGTAAAGTTTCGATCCTAATTACTTACCCTTGATTGATTTGAAAATATCCTTTAAAAAAATCGAGAAATGTGTTAGATAAACAAGGTAAAGAAAACAAATAAGATACAAGAGAAAAATAAAATAAATAAGTAAGATAAGAAAAAAAAATAGTAAAGTAATAATTATATATAGTAATATTAGATTTATAAGTAAAATATTAAAGAAATATATATATATATATAATAATAATAAAATATAGTAAAAAAATAAATGAAAATAATTTAATATATATATATATATATATACATATAATAATAATAATAACATGAATAATAAAAATAAATGAATAAAATATCCATATAATAAATAAAGGGACTAATATAGATTTTTAAAAAGTTCTTCCCCTCCTTTAACCGAAAATCAAACCGGTTTTTAAAAATAAGCCTCGGGGTAGATCTAGGTTCGAAACTTCGAAACCCCACCCATTTTGGTCATCGGCGCAACCCACGTTTTGGGTTATTCGAACCAAATCTCAAGAAAAATAACGTGCACATGCAAAGGAAAAAAAAAAGAAAATGCTACCTTTTATTTCCTTTTCGAATCCTTTACAATAGTTTTGCCTTTGTATCTTCCCGTGCTTTCCTCTATGGTTTGTGTGTAAATCGTCTGTAAATCGTGAGTTACAATGGCTATTTATAATGCTTGTGGATCCTATCTTTAGGAATTTAAATCTTAGTATAACTCTATCCTATTTTTAGGAGTTTGAATCCTAGCAAAATGTTATCCTATTTTTAGGAGTTTGAATCCTAAAATTCTATCCTATTTTTAGGAGTTTGAATCCTAGCAGGACGAAAAATGTGTGTTGACAGCTGCCCCTCTTTGCCCATAGTCGTGTAACGGGGATAGGGCAAAGATTAAAAGACACACTTTTCGTTCAATGGAGTTGAAAATTAACTCTGATGTTTCAATAACTCCCTGTCGAATTGAGTTACGGATGACTCCTCCATCGTGAAGTCGAGTTCATCTTGAAATGATATGAAATTAAAGTCGTCGTTCGGAATTTGAATCAGCACGTGGCTTCCCGTTACCCTTCGGTCTTCTTCTCGGTTTAAAGACCTTGGATCGAAATCGAACTCAGAAATCTTCATTGACAGATAGTTTTTTCTTGACTTAAGCTATGCTGTTTGAAAATGGTTGTTTGTCACTAAGGCACGGCTAACCCAGGTCCTCTTCTCGACTTGAAAACCTCGACTGTAACCAAAAAGTAGTGCGATTTATGTGTCATCGAGCTGAATGGAGTCGAACTCGACAATTTTGATGGCAGATAATCCTTCTTTGAGTTGGATATCCTTCGTCATGAAGTTGAAATCCAAGTAAGTAACATTGTTCCAAGTCTAATATCCTCCGTCGTGAAGTTGAAATTGGCTCTGGAACCGGGAAATTGTTTGTTGACAACCAGCCATCCCTTCGTTGTGAAGTTGAACTTGTGTTGTCTCGAGTCCAATATCCTTCGTTGTGAAGTTGAAATTGGCTCTGAGATTGGGAAGTTGTTGTTGACAAGCAGCGGTCCCTTCGTCGTGAAGTTGAACTTGCATTGTCTGGAGTCCAATATCCTTCGCTGTGAAGTTGAAATTGGCTCTGAAATTAGGAAGTTGTTGTTGACAAGCAGCGGTCCCTTCGTCGTGAAGTTGAACTTGCGTTGTCTGAAGTCCAATATCCTTCGTTGTGAAGTTGAAATTGGCTCTGAAATTGAGAAGTTGTTTGTTGACAACCAGCCGTCCCTTCATTGTGAAGTTGAACTTGTGTTGTCTCGAGTGCCACGATATCCTCCGTCGTGGAGCTGAAATCGCGGATGGCCCCTTCGTTGTGAAGTTGAGCCTTGACTTGAATATCCTTCGTCGTGAAGTTGAAATCCAAGTATTGTATGTTGCGGGTGGACACAATTCCCTTCGCCGTGAAGTTGAAACCGTGGAGACCCCTTTATTATAAAGTTTGGCTTCGAGCTAGATATCCTTCGTCGTGAAGTTGAAATCCACTCTCGAGCAAATTGTGTCACTTTGAGTTCAATATCCTTCGCCGCGAAGTTGAAATTGACTCTAGCTAAAACCTAAAAAAGTTATGCATATATGTGATGCTATGGATGCAATGCTCTTAGGTGTGCCTAAAATGCATATGCAACATATGTTATCTTGGGGCTCTGGAGAGACATCTCGATCTCCAGTTGTCTGTCTGGAATCTTGATTCTTGAATCTTCAAATTTTGATCCCTGATCTTGAATTCTTCAAATGTTCAAATCTGATGTGCACATTCTATTTTTGATTTGAGAAATGCTTCTCGACCATCTCAAGTATGTGCCTGAGCTGAGTGTAACGGTTCAGATGATGCTTCAAAAGAAGTTGTCTTGAAAGAGATATAATTCGTTTCAAGGGAAACGATCTCAAAGATATCTGTTGTTTCATGAGAAACGGTCTCAAGGGAAACAAAATTATGTTTTAAGGGAAATAAATTTGAAGATTTTGTGTTTCAAGAGTAACTGTCTCAAGGGAGACAAAATTTGTTTTAGGGGAAATAAATTCAAAGATTTTGTTTCAAGGGAAACTGTCTCAAGATAGACGAAATTTGTTTTAAGAGAAACTGTCTAAAGAGAGACAAAACTTAGTTCCAAAAGAAACTGTCTCAAGGGAGACGAAATTTATTTCAAAGAAAACATATTCAAATATTTTGTTTCAAGGGAAACTGTCTCAAGAGAGACAAAATTTATTTCAAGGGAAACTGTCTCAAGAGAGACAAAATTTTGTTTCAAGGGAAACTATCTCAAGAGAGACGAAATTTATTTCAAGGGAAATGTTTTCAATGTTTATGTTTCAAGAGAAACTGTCTCAAGGGAGACAAAATTTGTTTTAAAAAAGCAATCTCAAGTGAGATAATCATCTGTATTAAATGAGACTGTCTCAAGCGAGACAGAATTTATATTGGAAATGTCGAATCTGAAAATGAATGTCGATCTTTCTATCTGTTGAGTTGGTTGAAGTGTAGCTTCTTGTTGCTGAGCTAAGCAACCGACATCAATCTGTAAAGGTGCTTTTGAATCGAGTATCCTTCGTCTTAAAGTCAAACTTGACTCAAAAGCTGTAAAAATTATGTACGTGGAAAGAAAATGATAGATATGATGCTCTAAAATGTATGCATAAGATGCATGTAACATGAATTGGTTATATTTTATCTCCTGAAAAAGGTCTGATAATTCGCATTAGGATGTTGAATCCCCAAAGATGCCTCAATATCCAAAGATACCCCAAATGTTCCTCATTTCTTGCTTCATCATTGATTCTAAGCATGAGCTTTTTGTTTGAGAGTCACATGTCATTTACCAAGATCCACTCTAGAGAGACTGTCTTGTTTGAAAAAAAAATGTTTTTCTTTCTCTTTTATGAAAATATCAATTAAAAGAGTTTCAAAAAGTGTTTAATCTCAAGTTTTAAAAATATTGCCCCTATCACGGTTTTACAATTGAGACGAATCATAAAACTAGAGTTCATCGGATATCAAATAATTAATTACAATGTTAATCCCTTAATAAATTATAGCTATTCGACAACTGCCAAGATCCAAGCTATCTTTGGGAGATAGTCAAGTAAGGAAAGGATAAAAAGTCTCAGGTTATTGTGTTTGGTCAAAGGTTTGGCATTTGATGCTCAAAGGTTTGGCATTTGATGCTCAAATGT